AGAGAACAAGGGTTAGTTCTTGCAAGAGGGAGGAACTGTCCTTGCAGATTTGTAGGCACTGTTTTGGCAATCTAGACTTTATCAAGAGGGGAGGAGAGGAACAGATAGGGGCTAAAGTTGTGTGCAAAAAGGATTGGGGAGAGGAATAACCACTGGAGACAAGGACATGAGAGAGTTACAGTGAAGGATGATCAGTTCTTCATGGTCTAATATCACTCCATACAAAGCATTGTGCTATGTGCTGCAGGTATAGTGATAAACAAGGTGGACTCAGTTCCTGATTTCATTAAATACAAAATTATACAATTACTTATTTTATTTCCATAGTACAAGGTGATAGGCTTGCATATATCAGGGAATATCACATAATCTGGAAGAATCAGACAAAGCTTCCCTCAACAAGGGGCATTTTCATTGAAATTTGAGGGATGAGTAGGATTCTACCAGTTAAAGTGGCATTGGAGGGTAGGGTAGGCAAGGGCTGCATTATGATTTTTATGGGCCCTAGGTATTTCTGCCATCATGGGCCCCTTCCAACAGAAAAAATAAAATACAAATTATATTCTGTAACTTATGTGGTATAAAGATGAATATGTTAATATTGTATATTAAAATGTTTTATTTTACCTAGAAGTCCTTTTCTTTCTTATTTTAAAATAAATTTAAACATTTTTGTAGACCCTAGGCACGGTCTTACTGTGCCTTTTGGATTAGTAGGCACAGGAGGTAAGGAAGTTTGGGCCAAGAACATTTTGGATAGAGAGAATGCCATATAGAGAAGTTTCTAGGGGCATAATTGCTCAGGGAATTAAAAGGCTAGAGCAGGGAGTGAAGGAGAGTATGGCATAAGGGAGGCTGGTGAGGCATGACATATTAAAATCATTAAATTCTTATAGAGGCCATTTTAAAATAGTAAATTAAATAACACGAATCTTAGCCAATGCTGATTTTCTTTTTTAAAGACAAAGTCTCACTCTATTGCTCAGGCTGGAATGCAGTGATGCAGCCGTGGCTCACTACAGCCTCAAACTCCTTGGCTCAAGCCATCCTCTTGCCTCAGCTTCCTGAATAGCTAGAATTGCAGGCACACACCACTATGCCCAGTTACTATTTTTTTTTTCAGAGACAGGGTCTCACTATGTTGTTCAGGCTTAATGTTGATGTTTGATATAATAGTGGAAGTTGGTGATTTCTGCCAAACTGTGGCAGATGTAAAACGCAGGTTAGGCACAATTCCATCTAAAGTTAGTATATACACTGAAATATTCACAGAGAAACTGATATAATGCCTGTGATTTGCTTCAGAATAATTCAGGAGGTATAAATGAACAAGATTAGCCATGAATTCTCAATTAATGAAGCCAGATTTGAGGTATATGGGGTTCATTTTATTATTCTGCCAACTCCTCTGTTTGACTTTCCATAATAATAGCTTAATATTTTTATTAATATTATTATTTCCATAATAATAGCTTTTAAAAAAAATAAAGCCAAGGTACAAAGAAACATCAAAACCCAGAAGCCATGAAAAAAGATGATAGATTTGAGTTTATAAAAATGATAACCTTATATGACAAAAATAAAGCACACAAAACACTAAAAATAAAAGACATAATTGTGAAATGCATAATTTATAGATTTAATATTCTTAATATGATCGTGATTCTTATCAATCTAGAAAAAATTCCAAGACACCCACAAGAAAAATTTGACATGGCTCATGAATGGGATATTCATAAAATAACTTAAAAATTCAAATAAAAATATAAAAAGATACTAATTCTTAGTAGTAATCACACAAATGAAAATTAAAATGCCATATACTTTTCTTGGATCAGATTTTGTAAAAAACAAACTTAATGTCAAATGTTGATAAACTATAGAGAAAGTGACATTATCATTCTCTCAAACACTTTGGTAGAAATGTAAATTGGTAGAACCTTTCCATTTATTTACGATTTTATCTACCAATTCCATTTTTAAGAATATATCATAAGGTAGCATTTTCAAAAGTGTGTAGTGTGATGTTGACAGATGTTATTTGAGTTTGTGTAAGTCTAAACTTAATTTTAAATGTAAATTTATTAAACATCATTTAAAAAATTTCCCATTTTAAAGTTTTTTCATTGCTTCTTTTTTACTATTTTTTATTTTTTATTTTTTTTTTAGAAAAAATAGAGTTTATTTTTCAGAGCAGTTTTATTTTCATAGAACAATGGAGTGGAAAGTACAGAGACTCCCATTCTATTTTACCAGATAGTGATGGTTAAACAAGTTTGATTTCTACAAGGTATATGGTACTACTATGCACTGGGACATACATCTCTAAGATGGTGAATAAGTCTTTCCTTATGTTATATGTCATGGAACCCCTTCATCAGAGAAAATATTTAGGTACTAAGGTTCTGTAACACTTACTTTTAGAAATTATCTTAAAAAGCCATCAGACATGAGTACACATATGTACATGAGAGGATGTTCACTAAAGTCATGTTTACCACAGACAAAAATTGAGAAGCATTCTAAATATTTAATAAAAGGACGGTGATTACATGATTCATGATATAACCTTTAACTGGAATTTAAGGTGGATGATATTTACTAACATAAAAATTGCTGCAGTAGGATGATATAATTCTATACCTTGAAAACACTAAAGACTCCATCAAAAGGCTCCTGCAAGTGATAAATGACTTCAGCAACATTTCAGTATATAAAAATCAATAGCATTTCTTTATACCAATAATGTTCAAGCTGAGAGTCAAATAAAGAACATAAACCAATTAACAATAGTCACACACACACACCATGCACAAACCTGGGAATACATCTAACCAAGGAGGTGAAAGATGTCTACAAGAAGAACTACAAAACACTGCCAGAAATCATAGATGATACAAACAAATGAAAAAACATTACATGCTCATGGATTGGAAGAATCAATATTGTTAAAAGGGCCAAACTGCCAAAAGTAATCTACAAATTAAATGCTATTGCTATCAAAATACCAATGTCATTTTTCACAGAACTGGAAAAAAAACTCTTCTAAAATTCATATGGAAACAATAAAGAGACTGAATAGCCAAAGCAAATCCTAAGCAAAAAGAACAAAGTTGGAAGCATCACAGTACCCAACTTCAAACTAAACCATAAGGGTTTTGTAACCAAAACAGCAAGTTACTGGTACAAAAACAGGTGCATAGACCAGTGGAACAGAATAGAGAACTCAGAAATAAAGCCATGCACCTACAGCCATCTAATCTTTGAAGAAGTTGACAAAATTAAGCAGTGGGGTAAGGATACCCTATTCAATAAATGGTGATGGAACAGCTTGCTAGCCACATGCAGGAGAAATAAATTGGACCACTACCTTTCACCATATATAAAAATTAAGTAAAAATTGATTAAAGATTTAAATGTAAGAACTCAATATATAAGAATGGTAGAAGAAAACCCAGGAAACAATATTCTGGACATGGGCATTAGGAAAGAATTTATGACTAAGTTCTCAAAAGCAATTGCAACAAAAACAAAAATGGGCAATTGGGACCTAGTTAAACTAAATAGCTCTGCACAGTGAAAGAAATTATCAATAGAGTAAATGGACAATCCACAGAATTGGTGAAAATATTTGCAAACTGTGTAACCAACAATTGTCTTAGATCCAGAATCTATAAGGAACTTAAACAATTGAACAAGCAAAAAACTAACAGCCCAGTTAAAAAATGGGCAAAATACATGAACAGACACTTTTCAAAAGAAGATATACAAGAGGCCAACAAACATATGAAAAAGTGTTCATCATCAGTAATTATCAGAAAAATGCAAATCAAAACCATAATGAGACACCTTCTCACACCAGTCAGAATGGCTATTTTTAAAAAGTCAAAAAACAACAGTTGTTGGTGAGGCTGTGGAGAAGAGGGAACTCCTCTATACTGTTGGTGGGAATGTAAAGTAGTTCAGCCACTGTGGAAAGCAGTTTGGAGATTTCTTAAAGAACTTAAAGCAGAATTACCATTCAACTCAGTAATCACATTACTTGGTACATATCCAAAAGCAAACAAATTGTTCCACCAAAAAGACACATGCATTCACAATATTAAGCACTATCACTATTCTTAATAGTAAATTCATGGAATCTATGTAAGTGCCCATTAATGGTGGATTGGATAAAGAAAATGTGGCACATATACACCATGGAGTATCACGCAGCCATAAAAAAAGAATGAACTTATGTTCTCTGCAGCAACATGGATGCAGCTGGAGGCCACTATCCTAAGTGAATTAACACAGGAAGAGAAAACCAAACATCACATGTTCTCACATGTAAGTGGGAACTAAACATCAGGTACTCATGGCCATAAAGATAGCAACAATAGACAATACTACTAGAGGGGAAAGCGTGGAAGGGGAAGCAAGGGCTGAAAAACTGACTGCTAGGCACTATGCTCAGTACCTTGGTGAGGAGATCATTTATACCACAAACTTCAGCATCAAGCGATATACCCAGGTAACAAATCTGTATGTGTACCCCCTGAATCTAAGATAAAAGCTGAAAGAGAAAAAAATAAAATAAAATTTTTTAAAAAGCTACAATAAACTGCTAAGTAAAAGAAGCAGGGTAGGGAAAGACCATTTAAGCCCTATGGTGTCTAGTAATAATTATTGTAACTATATAAATGCACATATTATACATAATATAGATACATAAAATTAAATACAGAAAGCTATCACAAAACATTAAGAATAGTTACCTGAAGGTGGTAGAGTAATTACATTTTTTCTGTATTATCTTTTTTTAAAAAAACCAGTAAATGTGTTAATTTTCCAATAGAAATATTTTTTAGAGGTGACATGTTTAAGCATCCTCACTTTGGAGAAATAAAGGATTTTAATCTATAGATGTCAGAGGTGTTCCATATTTATACAAAAATTAAGTCTGCAGACAAAAACTACAGTTGTATGAAGAATCTATGAAGAGAAACCATGATGCCTACCTTCTGGACAGAAGTGAAGAAAACATAACAAGTGTTGTGTGTGTCTCAGCAGCGTAATGGAGGCAGTTAATTTCCAGATGCTCTATGCCTTTACAAGTCCCTATAAGGGAGTACCTCTTCTCTCTGAAAAGAAATAACATGAGTATACACATTTATTTAAAGCCTGGTTTTCAAAATCATTAATAGTATTGATGGCATTTTTTCACTTCCAAACATCAATGGGTTGTTGCCAAAGAACTAGAGAGGATCAAGGTATTAGTATCTTCATCTTTCAGAAATACCATGCTTAAGTAACAGAAATAATTAAAGAAAATATTATATACTTTATTTGAATGTGTTTAATAATATAATCAGAAGAAATGTATTTAATAAATTAAAAATTATTGATAAAAATAGTAGTGTAATTTTGTATATCGACTATCTACCAGACACAGTGCTAAATCCTTTATATCTCATTTAATCCTCTCAACATCTTATTTATTTGATATTTATTCAGCAATATTTACTAGGCATTTGCATAATGCCAGGTAGTGTGGGAAGCACTGGAGATATAACGGTGATCACTACCATGATACAAGATAGCTATTAACATTCCCACTTTAAAATGAGGTAATTGAGGCTCTGGGATTGGATATTAAATAGCCTAACTTTGAACTTATTCTTCCTCTTATAGCCCAATCAAAAGGAGGTTGCCAGTCTTATCCCCACCACCACTAAAAACAAAAACCATCAACTCCAAACCTTTTAAGTTAAAATGGAGAAAATACCAAAACATATCCCGACAACTCATCTAAATGTAGTATAAAATACATACAAAATATCTATATATAACCTTTATAATTTGCAATATCACTTACTTTAATCCTCACTCAATCTCATGATATAGGTGTTAGTATTACCATTTTGTAGATGAGAACACTGGCTTAGAAATGTTCAGCTTAAATCTGGATCTGCCTAATTCTAATGCTTAAAAACCTCAAATAGAGAACAATAAAAAAAAAACACCTTACATTAAAATGGAGAAAGCAGCAAAGAAGAAAAGCAACTCATTTAAGCAGCCTGATGTATGCACACACACAAAAAACACACACAGGATCACACACCTGTATGGATTGTGGTATTGACATTCAAACACCCATCACTATCTGGTAAAATAGTATTGGGGTGAGAGGAGGATGACAGGGGAAAGCAACTATCTAGGAAGGAGAAGCTGAATGAAAATCATCCTCAAATACAGATTGTAGCTCTACAGGCTGCTTACTTTCAAGTGGGGTCTCACAGAAAAACAGCAGGAAATATTACCACTCACTTGCTTATGACCTTAGGAAAGTTACTTAACTTCTCTGGGCCACAGTTTCCTATCTGTAAATGAGGATAATAACAGTATCTAACTAACAGAGGTGTTATAAAGATTAACATTCACAAATCACCTAAAGTATCATTTTCAACAGTAAATGCTGTATATATGTGTGTGTATGTGTGGTTTAAAATAAATATCTGAGTGGGATTAATTGTATTAATAGATCTTCTTCATGGAGCATATTACTGGTAGTTATATTTTATGTATGTTAACATCTCAAGTAATCCTCACTTTAACCCTATGAGGCAGATATTATTATCAGCTGGCTTTTAGCTTCACTTAAAGGCAGAAACTTGATTTTATCAACTTCCCCAATCATTAGAAACTCATCAACTTAAAAGGGAAATTTTTTTGTTGTTCCAAAATGATAGTGAATGAATTGGATAAAACACCATTTATCTGTATCAAATCTCTCTTAACTACCAAACCACTAAGAAATTACATAATTACTATAAAATTAAAACATGGAGAATTGAAGACTCAAATTAGACCTTCCATTAGCCATAGTAGTCTGTTTCTCTACTGTGTTAAAAATTTCCTCTTACATGATATGATACCTTGAGAAGGCACACCATCACCAATGTGGTATTTTTGCCAACAATATTTAATCTAGATTTAACAATAAAAAAAATTCAGAAACAGCTAAATTAAAGTGACATCTTGCAAACAACTGGCCCAGGCTAATAAAAAATGCCAGTGAGATTAGAGCCCAAAGGCTAGAACTTTATGTCCCACCAGGGATGGGCAAGTAATTTGTTTACCTTCTGGCATGAAGGTATTGGGAAGCTTTACAGAGATTTGAACTTTCAATTGAGAGCCCTGGCTTGTCCAAAAGACTGTTAGTTTATGGAAGATATTAGGGTTTTTAGGCAGAATGGAAGGAGTTGCTGTGAATAAACAACAAGTAAATAAAGGATTCTGAAGGGAGAGAGGTATCCAAATCAGTGTTTAGATGTGGTGAGTAGAATTGATACAGAGAAACGAGGGAAGGAGAAAAAAAAATCTGAACCCTGGGAATTATATAGCTCCTGGGAAATACACAGCAGGTATGGTTATGCACAAGATGATCTGCTGATATGAGGAGGATATATCAGTACTTATCTGTAATATTCATATAGATTAACACTAATACCTTTAAAATATATTTTTACTGAGGATAGACAATAAATTTTGAAACTTATTTATTTTTTTGTATACAGTATGTGACCAAAATGTTTGGTGATCACTGTTCTCAGGAACAAAAGAAAGACTTTTAGGCGCTGGCATGTACTAGGACATTTGTCCCTGCTCTTAGGGGTGAAGAAGACCGTGCAGTGCTTGGACAGTCTTCTGTGGAGGGGTCAGAGTGGACTGTGTGTTGTGCTGTTGTTAATCGGGAGGTATGATGTGTTCTGAAGCACATGTGAAAATAAGAGATGAGCTTATTGAGATTCATCAAACTCTGCTCCATGCTCTTGCCTTTTTATACAGAAATAAATGATACTTTGAGAAGAAATGTGGAAAACATACTCAGAGATGATGAAAATTCCTGGGTAAGAAACTTGAAGGACCTGGGGGCAAAGGGGGGCCACTCACTTTGGGGACTTGGGGGCCACTCACTTTGGCCCATGTAAGTAAAGAGAGCTGGGAAAGGGAAAGGAACAGCCTACAATGTCCTTTTTGTGAAAAAAGTGAGATTTTTCTAGATCACATATTTAAGACGGTAGTGAGGAATGTGTTTCATCCAGAGGAAGACATGGCAGAAAAGGGGATGGAAGCACCTCTGCCTTCAGAATGCTATGTATGTCCAGTGCCAAGAGTGAGCTTGAGATTATAGCACAGTCATCACAGAGACCTGATAGGCACGAGGTGTCTGTCCTCCTTTACACTGCGGCGTCTATATCCAACCTGTGACTGTCTCCTGTCCCCATTATCCCCAACTTTAGGTCCTCTCTATGTTGTCATGAGTGCCTGCTCAAAAGTCCTCACCGGGTCCTATCTGTGGAATTCAGCCCATTGGCATGGTTTGGTCAGCCCAAATTTGAACATCTTTAGGCAGAACTCATACAATTCAGTTTGCCACAGGTCTGTCATTTCACATCATATGTTTGTGTTTGTTTTCTGCCTGTCCCTTAAAGCTTTGAATTCTCAAACACAGGATGAAGTCCAGATTCACTGGCCCAACACTAAAGGCCTGCTCCTGTGTGTTTCTTCTGACTTACGTTTCATCGTAATATCCTCGCAGGTGACTGCAGTTTTCTAAACTGTGTGCTTTTCAAAAACATAAAAAGTAATAGATGTATTTTGCTCACATGATGATCTCTGCTTTCTCTTTTTTGTCTGCTTATCTTTCAAGTTAGCTGAAATGTCATTTCCCCACTGACATGTCTTTCCTGAATTTTTGAGAGAGGAGAGATATCTTCCCCTTTTGTGCTCATTCTTCACTTTATACGGCCTTTATTGTAGTATTTATAACATTTTACTGATTATTATGTACAAATACCTAGAACATAACACCATGCCTGCTATTTCATAGGTGGCCAATAAATGATTTTGAGTGAGTTAACAAAAATGTCAACAACATGACACAAAAGGCTGGATTTTTTTTTTTTAAGATAAAAGGAGATTAAGCAGATATAACAACTAATTGCAATGTATGAACCTTGGCTGGACCTTAGATCAGGAGGAAAAAGACAGCTGTAATTAATGGACAACTGGGAAATTTTAAATATTGATTTAAAGACTCTATTAAAAACACATTTAAAACTATCTTAGGTAGTTTATTTCTTTACATAAAATTATTCATTCATGCATTTGTAATCGTAATATATTAAATACCTATTCAGTGTGATAAGTCTGCAGATAAAAATTCTTGCAAGTAACAGAACCTAAAATACAGCCTTGGCTTGGCCAAGAGGGTCAGGTGAAGGGTAGTAAGGACCTTTCTATCTCAGTCTGGCAAGTTAGCAAAATAACTAAAGTATCATCTGTTACATTTTGGGACTCAGACCATCTGCCTACTGAAGTATTTTCCCTTCTAATGGAAGGGAAAAATTCCGACTGTTGGAGCAGGTTGGCTGCTTTATGCAGCCTTCAGTAAAGTCCTACAAGAAAGAATGGAAGGTCAGGAAGCAGTGAAGGAAGAAAAAGATGTCTTTGCCAATAAAGCTACTTTTTATCTGTGGCTGAGAATAGGAGATCTGGACATTCGTAAGAGTATAGAAGCCAAATTACAAATGCTTTATAATTATCTTGTATCTATTTTTTGAATAGGTTATTCACATGACATAGAAATGGAAAGATATAAAAAGGGAGTAAAAACATCTCTCTCCTAGTCTTGTCCCCTAGCCATCTGTTTTTTTCACTCCCTAGAGGCAACCCCCATTAGCACTTTCATATGTCCTTCCAGAGATGTTCAGTGCATTGCCATACTACACATACATTTCCACAAATGACGCAGGTTATGCATACTGTTCTATACCTTGCTTTCCTCATGTAACATATTTCATCAACTGATTGTATCAGTACATGCAAAGCTGCCTTATCATTTTAGGAGCATCATTGTATAAAATTTACATGATAAAAACCATAGAGTAGACAAGAATGCAAGAGGATATAACCGTATTCTTTTATATAAAGACTGTACCACTAAAAACATAGAGTACACAAGAATGCAAGAGAATATAATAGATGTTTTCCCATACAAACAAATAAGGAAGGCACTGGCTACTAGGCAGGAAAGAGTTTGGAGGGGCTGTGATTCAGGTATCTGAGTATTGAGTATCAAAAACGAAGGCTAAGAAAGGCAGATGGGAAGATTTGTCTGAAGACATTTTGAATACTAAACATTCCAGTATATTGTGGCAAAGCATGTGAAAAGTTATTAAAGCTTCTGTCATGAGAGGAGTGCAAAAGTGGCTAAGATTAAGTTGCAAGACCTAAAGAAGACTGGAATTTGAAGGGTAAGGAATACATGGTTCTTGCAATTAGAAATTACAGCAAGTACATGGCAGTGGATCCAGTGTATGAAGTCCAGAGGCTAAGTAAGTGGAACTAACATAAGTAGATGCTGGCCCATGGTACCAAAAGGCCAACAGCCAAGCAGTTACTCAGCAGAGGCCAGCAAGGACAGAAAAGAGTATGCAAACCCATACGTATTGATGATGCCTCGTGATATGTCAGTCTCCCTCAGGAACTTGAGGAAGAGTAAAAGGGAAGAAGTCAGGTATGGTGGCTCACGTCTGTAATCCCAGCACGTTGGGAGGCTGAGATGGAAGAACTGCTTGAGCCCAGGAGCTCAACACCATCCTAAGTGACGTAGCAAAACCTCATCTCTACCAAAGACACAAAAATTAGCTGCATGTGGTGGTGCACGCCTGTAGTCCCAGCTACTCGGGAGGCTGACATGGAAGGATGGTTTGAGCCCAAGAGGCAGAGGTTGCAGTGTGCTAAGATTGCGCCATTGTACTCCAGCCTGGGCACCAGAGCCAGACCCTGTCTCAAAAGAAAAGAAAGAAAAGAAGAGTAGAAGGGACAGAAGTAAGAGAGAGGGGTAGATTCTTAGTTTAAAGCTGAAATTAATTTTAATTCAGATATGACCAAGTAACTTCAAATTTGTCTGTGGAAATGTTATTGACCAAGGTACCAAGAAAAGACATTGACATCAATCAATTTTTTAATATAGGCAAGCAATGTTTTACACATTTAAGATCAATAACTACAAAACTTAAACTTAAATAGCCAGTTCTTAGCGGTGTTACAAGGATTCAATGACATAGGTGTGAGAAAATAGAATGGTGTGATTTTCTGATTACAATTTCTGATAGTAACTTTTCTTTAACTTTTTCCCAAGTTTTGGGACCTTTACTGTAATTCCATATACAGAAGCCACAGATTTCATCTTTTTTTTTTTTTTTTTTTTTTTTTTTT